GAAGCGTGGTGCTAGCTACGCGACTTTTTTGCGACTGTTTTTCAAAAACAACAAAACCTCGCAACTATTTATGAGCTGTGCACCCCAATATCTGATTAATTCCCTGAGATTGAGCTGTAACCAGTGCGTGGTGTGGCTCACCCAAAACTGGGATGGGCTCCAATTCACGCAGGACCCTAAAGAGGCCAAGAAAATGGATGGATGGAATCCAGAGGCATCACAATTCAGCAAAACTGAAACTGTTTTGAGTTTGACCAAAATTCTGGTGAAAAACATACCACGCCATATGACGCGAGTTGCCAGCATACCTCAGTAGATTGCATTTCAGTCAACATCAAAGGACTCCCTGTGCCTGTTTTGCTTTTACTGAGAGACTTTGTGGCTTTTTGAGACATTTATTCTTTTATTAGGACAAGAAGAGTGTTGTCATGAAGGACGCAAACTCAGAGGGTGTCCGAATACTTTTATCCAACACGAGCCAGTATTTCAGTGTCTGAATAGTATGCGGATGATCGCTAGTGAGCTGAAGTGTCGCTTCGTTCTGGTTTTATTTTGGTAAGTTTCAACTTCCTGTTTTATTTCCATTCCCTTAAAAGGAGTCGAAAAATGACCAAGTTTTCTGAATAAAGGTCCTTTCAGTTGAATATTCTGAGAGTCGTGTTGTGCATTTCAGTTCATCTGAAAGTGCCTTAAAAAAAAAACGGATGATCGCCAGTGAGCTGAAGTGTCGCTTCGTTCTGGTTTTATTTTGGTAAGTTTCAACTTCCTGTTTTATTTCCATTCCCTTAAAAGGAGTCGAAAAATGACCAAGTTTTCTGAATAAAGGTCCTTTCAGTTGAATATTCTGAGAGTCGTGTTGTGCATTTCAGTTCATCTGAAAGTGCCTTAAAAAAAAAACAAGCACTATATAAGCTGATTGAAACGCTGATTGGCTAGATCAAATCTGGTTGGTTGCAGTACATGTTATTTTATGATGGATTACATTCCTGGCTGAGTTCATTTTATGGTTATTAATATGAAAATGCAAGATATTTGGGAGGCCTATTTGTCAGGAATGGACTTTTAATTGTTAAAACAGATGAACACAGATTCATACTAAATAGTTCATGTCTAATTGTCCTCGTGTGAGGAAGAAGAAATGGTCAACACTTGAATTTTGGCACGTCGAGCTAATAAAGGTTTACGACTGTGACAGTTTGGTCTCTAGGAACAAGTAATTAATCAAATTCTCCTTACTCGTCTTTGCATCCGGTCTTCTGTTGCGTCTCGAGACTGCTGTCAAACACCATCCCTCCAAGGATATCACTGAAGGTCCTGGAAAAAAAAAAAAAAAGCAATCACTAGACACTTGTTGAACTATTCCCCAATCGGCATCCATCCTTGGTGTGATATCTTACTCTCTGTCGATGAGCAGACACGCAACGTCACTGACCGCGATGACATTCGCAGCACGCACATCCTCTCTGATTAAGGAGAGGACATTTCATTCCATGAAATTCGATCACAGGCTTGTGATTACAACTTAACCGATATCCCGCCTTTACCCCCACAAAGCTTTCTCTCCAAACCACTGCCTCTCCGAGAGCTTGGAGAGGATTTGCTCTTCATCCCCTGTCTTCTTTTCTGTGATTTTCACCTACACAACCAAAATGGGAGTCGCAAGAAGAGCAAAAAGCAATGAGGAAAGGCGACAAATTCGATCGTCGCTTATTCCAGAGACATTTCCTAAGCCGTGTTGACATTTGGCCCTCGTTGCGCCCGACTTTACCTGGCCTTTGTTAATGACATAAAAGGTGTCCCCTGTGGCGCCTTGCCGAATGATGTAGTCGCCTTGAGTGTAGCGAGCCTGCGGAGAGAAAGAAAGACGAGAGAAACGATCAAACTCAACATAAAAGCTTGCTGATGAGAAACAGAGTCCAAAGTGAAATGAAGGAATTGGCGGGTGGGGACCAAGAAATGATGATCGATAGGCAAGGTGATGTGTGTGTGTGTGTGTGTGTGTGTGTGTGTGTGTGTGTGTGTGTGTGTGTGTGTGTGTGTGTGTGTGTGTGTGTGTGTGGGACTTTGACAGAA